TTATATTAATATACAATATACAAAGCTCAAAATAAATAACCAATAAAATTATAAATAAATATTATTCAATAAATATATATTATAAAATATTCAATAAGAATAAATTAATTAATTGTTTAATAAGATAAAAAATAAAATATACTATAATATATTCCTCCATAATTCCTGAGCTCTGTCAAAAAAATACAAATAAAAATTAAAAATTAAAAATAAAATTAAAAAATAAATTATAAATTATAAATAAAATTAAATATTATTTAATAAATTTATTATGTAATTTTATTAATAAATTATAATAAAAATAAAAATTTTTGTTTATATAAAAATTCAGTAAATATATATTAAATTATAATTTGTAATCTTTATTTTAATATAAAAATAAAAAATATTTATTAATAAAATTAAAAACTTTTATATAAGACAAAAATTTTAATTTTTTATTATATTTTATTAATAAAATTATATATATAGTAACTAATAGAATTATAAAATTATATATATTAGTTTATTACTAAAAATTGAAATTTTTATTTAATATAAAAGTTTTCAATTTTATTAATAAATATTTTTATTTTTATATCAAATTAAAGATTATAAGTTATAAATTATAATTTAATATATATTTTTTTTTGATTTTTTAGATTTTTTAATTAATTTATATTTTAATTATAAAAAATTTTTGTAATAACTTTGCAATTAAAATAACTTTATTAGAAAAAACTAGAAAATTCAGAAAAAATATGTTAAATTATAATTTATAATCTTTATTTTAATATAAAAATAAAAAATATTTATTAATAAAATTAAAAACTTTTATATTAGACAAAAATTTCAATTTTTATTAATAAAATTATATATATAATTTCATAATTTTATTAATTACTATATATAGTAATTTAAATTAAAGTATTTAATATTAAATAATTTACAAAAAAATTTTAAATTAGAATTTAAAATATTTAAATTATTTAAAAACTTATATAATTTAAAATTTAAAATATTTAGAATTTTATTAGTTATTATAAATTATATATTAATATTAATAAATAAACTTTTTTCTTTTTAAATTATATAATAGCTAATAAAATTATAGAATTATACATGTAATTTTATTAATAAAATATAATAAAAATTGAAATATTTGTATTATATATAAGTTTTTAATTTTATTAATAAATATTTTTTTATATTAAAATAAAAAATTATTAATAAATATTTTTTCTAAATTTTTTCTAAATTTTTTCTGACAAAGTTATTTTAATTGCAAATTTATTGGAAAACTTTTCTATAATTAATTTTATATTTTAATTATAAAATTTTTGCAATTAGAGCAATTTTATTAGAAATTAATTTAAAAAATCCAGAAAAAATATATATTTTAATATAAAATTAAAATTTATTTAATAAAGTTATTTTAATTATAAAATTATTATAAAAATTTATTTATAATTAATTTTATATTTAAATATAAATATTTTTTTATAATTTTTGTAATTAGAATTACTTTATTAAATAAAATCTAAAAAATTTATAAAAATATAATAACAATTAAAAATAATATAATACAAAAAATTATTAATAAATTATAAAAATATGGATTTCTTTTTTATATAAAAGTTTTTAATTTTATGAATAAATATTTTTATTTTTATATCAAAATAAATAATTTTTTATAATAAAAATATTTATTAATAAAATTGAAAATTTTTATATAAGACAAAAATTTTAATATTTATTATATTTTATTAATAAATTTATATATATAATTTTATAATTTTATTAATTACTATATATAAATTATATAATTTATAAAAATATTTATAAATTAAAAAATTATTTTTATTAATAAATATTAATCTAAATATAATAACTTTAATATTAACTAATTATATTCAAAATCTTAACTTTAATTCAGATTCTAATTAATCAATTATTATTAATATATTTATTTTTATATTAAATAATAAATTTAATATATTATACTTTATTTTTTAAAAAAATAATTTCAATTCATAAAATTATCTAAAAATTTAACTTTATTTTAAATTGCAAATAAATTTAGAAATAAATTAATTATTAATAAGAATTCATATTATTATTAACAATTCATTATTACTTTATTTATTTTAATAATTTTATTTAAATAATATTTTATAATTATTTTAGTATTTTAATTTATAATAAATTATAATTAATAATAATAAAAGTCAAAATAGAAAACTTTAAATAAATTTAAACTCATTCATATAATACTTGAACTCAAATTCACATATAATTACAATTTGATTGTTTTAAAATTTTTATTAAAATTTTTTTATTTGCAAATTTATTTAATTTAATTAAATTAAAAAAACCAAAAATAAAGCATTATTATTTATAATGCATTTTTTATTATAACATAAAAATATAATTATGACCATTATTATATAGGTCATAACTAAAATTATAGATTATTATTTTTATTTTAATATAAAAATATTAGTAAAATTGAAAGCTTTATATAGAGAAAAAAACTTACGTTTACTAATTTAATTTTTTTATGCATAACACGTGGAAAAAACGCATTTACATCTTATGCTAATAAATATATGATTGACGATGTTTGTTTTTTTTGCATTCTTCTCAATTTTATTATAAAGTTATAAATTTATTTAGATAAATATTCACTCCTTATATTTCTTAAAGTTTACCCTTTACGTATTATAAGAAAAATCTCTTGATAATATATTGTTTCGTTCTTGAATGAAAGATAAAATTTTATATGACTAAAAAAATAATATTTAAATGAAAAAAAGGTGGCAGCTCGCGAAAATTTTGAAGTAGCAAAGCTATTTTTCTAAATTTGTGTATCGGGATTATATCAGAAAGTCGGATGTTGACTTATCAATGCGCTTGAATTACGAGCTCGTTTTAGCGTAATGAATATTTTTCCAAATACCTATATGATAATGGTCATAATTTATACGTAGATATCACTATGGTAGTTTGTATAGATATTGTGCGAGTTTTCAGAATTTAAAATTCCTATCATGGCATTTTGTATAGATATTGTGCGAGTTTTCTCTATCACTATCGCTATAGAATATACGTATGGTTATCATTACTATGTATATTACTGGTTACGTATAACATGACTATATTATGAAACTTAACTCTTATTTTAAGAAATTTCTATAAATTTCTATAATTAGCATACATACATGCAAGTATCTGTACGTAAGAATCAAATAATTGTTAATGGTGCAATTTTTTCCTTCATGAGGACAATGCATTCATGTAAGTCAGTTGACAACTGCTGTATTAATAATTCGATAATGATTTATTGATTTCCGTTTAAGGAATGTTTGCTGCTGCGTCTTTCAGCTATCCGTGAGATTTTTCCAAATATTTATGCTAGCTTCTGGAATGTACACACAGTTAATTATTGTACAATAGAATGGCATAAGAATTACTAAAAACAAATAATCGAAGACTAAATTCGAACAAGTTCGATCATTCATTACACACAATGAATAAAATATCATTATACTCTTGCCATTTTAGTTAAAAAAGATTTTAGTGTCATAAAAAACTAATCATCGTCAAATTTGGCTTATTCAGCGGTATTATCTGCCAAGCATTTTTATAGGAAAATAGAAGTATGATCTATCATGGGTTTTGTTTTTATCACGATGCTTAATGATAATAATTAACTTTAAAGGCAAATTATATTTTCCTTTAAACACAACATACAAAACATAAGATAAAATTAAATTAACAAAAAGCATTGTTTGCAGGGTTAGGATCAACCTCGCTTTCGAATCAATCAATACGAATAGATAGTATTGCAATGACTAAATGCAGACAAGCAGAGATAGATAATCTTTAAAGATGTTATGAAGGAAATTAGTATGATAGTCAGCTGAATGAACACATGCAAAAGCAAGAATTTACTTTAGAAAAAAAAATGCACAAATAAACAACAGAAAATATATTGTAAAAAGGCCTACGGAATCTTAATTCCAATCAAAGGAAATTTATAGCATTTTTAAATTTCGGAATTTATCTTCCGAGTATCACTTAAATATAAGATAAGATAATAATACATTCGTGTGTCCTATAGTTGCATATATATTTATATATTCATATAATTGTATGTGCCTCGTGGTCTTGTGTTATATCCTTTGACATAAGAAGAATTGCACAGTTTCTTTTGATTTGCTAATGATTAATTTTATGGTACATGCACTGTTTTACTAAATAATTAAATAATTTTCTCTTGGAAATGTCCGAATATGGAATTTCTAAATGAAAACTCTTCACAAATAGGCAATCGAATAAGTCGGCTAGCTGAACATATAGTACAAAATGGTAAAAGTTTCCACGAAAACGTGAACACGAAAAACACGAGACAATTTATTTGGAAACTTTGTTGATAAACACCAACGACTTTGCAAGAACGCAAGCATGCAAGCAGCACGAGAAATAAATTCATGAATTCTATCGTAACAAAGAAATTGCATGGAATACCTATAAGTCATCTGATGAATTATTTATTAGAAGCCGATTGCCGCTACTATGGAACGAGTGACCCGACCCGTTTATATACTGAATATAGTAAGTATGTATTACTTATCATGTACATGTAGTTTCCCTTTCTAAGAAATTGGTATAGAACACACACAGTGTTGCGGCAGATTTAAATATATAAATAGAGCTCCTATTCAACAAAAAATATCTGCTAAAATTTAACGATCTAAAGAAACAAAAAAATGAAAAAAATCAACAACAATGCTAATCAATTTCACTTTGTTGACCCTAATTCGCCCAAAGATATTGTTCGAGTTCCACCCGATATTCCCGATATTGACATTCCATTTCCTCCCGAAGACTTGGACATTGAAGCGATGCTTAAACCAAAACCAAATAAAAGAAAACAAAAATCTAAATCCCCGAACAAGTGGTTCATCTATCGTACTTATTTCACGCAACAGTTGAAAAAACACAGGCATAATTTCCCTATGACTGATATCTCGCCGACTATCAGTGTACGGTGGAAAAAGGAACCACCACACGTTAAAGAACATTACGAATGTCTCGCAAAAACGGCAAAGATAATGTTCAATGACAAATATAATACATCCAACAATTCTATTGACTCGACAACGGGTTCTTCCCTTTCATCAACAAAAATCGAAAATGTTGAAGAAAAAACAAACATCCCATTGAAAAAATCTTCGCGTTATAAGCCCTATAAAAAACCTTCATTCGACAAGGAATCATCGAAAAACGAAATGAAAAACGAAATGAAAAAGAAATTGAATATTCCCCCTCCTTCACCAGTAACTTTACAATTTTCCGCTGAACCAATACTGAACTCCGACAAAATTCATTACAGCAATAACATTAATAATTGCTCTGATTTAAATCACTTTTATTCTTCGCAATTCGAAGATTTCGACAACTTCATCGACAATAACAACAACAATAATAATGATATTGTTGCCTTTATCGATATCGACGATAACAATAACAATAATAATGATATTGTTGCCATTCCCCATATCGACGACTATATTCATAGTCATTCATCTGCTTCGTCTATGTATTCATCTACTTCATCGCCGACATTACCAAATTCATATTTCGATATAATCTTGCCACAACAACCCGAAACGTTAGCAAAACAAAATTGTCCAAATCAGAATTTGGCTGATATAAATTGTCCAGAGCAGAATTTGGCTGATATAAATTGTCCAGGGCAGAATTTTGCTTTACAAGCTACTACGCAAAATTGTCCAGAGCAGAATTTGATTGCTATACGAGATTATTCAGATTTATTATTTTTTTCGTATGAAGATTTATTATTTCCTTCAAATATTTCGATGTAAATACTCTTTTGTTCTATATTAATTAGATTTTCTTAATCATGTTCTGTTTCTGTAAAATATTATATATAGATCGTATATTGTACATAATCTAATTTAAAGTATATATAAAGATTCGCTTGTCTGTCAATTTTCAATGTGCAAGAAACATATATTATCTATGTAAATTTGTCTTTTGTTCATGCATCTACTTTTTTCGATGCTACTGCGACACTGGCGTATTCTTCATCTATGTGTGTCGATGCAAGCACTTACTCAAAAGTATCTCATATAAAATTCTGCACTATTCTAGCAAGAGGCCCCTTATAACGTTGACGTAATTCATCGTCATAATAACTACTAGCGCTAACGCTAATGCTCATGTGAAGGTGAATGTGAATGTAACACCCATATTTTCTTACATTACGCATTTGCGCTTACATTCGATTTTTTCGCGAGAGAAAAAAAATAAGCTGATAAAATATCCTGCCATCCGGAAATTCCACGCTGACGGAATACCCGATCCTGAATTTTCAAAAAGTATGACTCATCGCCGAAAATATTTAAGTAATGTTTTTAAGGCGACACCAAGACAGGGTAACTCTTGCTTTCCATATTAAATTTCATGGGTTAGTATCGACAGAAGCATATACGTACTGATACTGCATGCGCTCATAGGTTCCTTGTAGATCTTGGACCCAGCATATATAATCATTTAAAGTTTTCATAAGGTTTAGTTACTCTGATCGCTGGCATAGGATGCGCATATTTCATAGGATTCGGAAAAGGTTTCTATAACTTTAATCGCGCAGATTAACTTCAACATTCTAGTTCTTGAGAAATATTATGCTGATCGTGAGACAATTACGTATGCATGCAATTCTTTGTGGTTTTAAATTTTGCGCCACGCACATATTTTATTTATTTTTATTAAAATACAAAGAGCGAGGTTTAACTATTGCTTACTTTAGTATTCAGTACAAAAAAAGTTACAAAAATGAATGATATAAAATACTAATGTAAAATGTTGATCCATTAGAATATTCTTAATCAGATAGATATACTAAATTAATTGAAAATATTTATTTTTATTGTAGTTAACTTTTTGTAGAATGAAGTAAATAGAAATTTTAAAATTCATATAATCAATATTTATTTAGTAAGTTCTAAACCAAATTTGATTTATTGAAAAGGATTTATTATAATTATTTTTCGAATCAAATTTGATTTATAGTTTTTATTAAGTGTGTTTTAATTTAATAAAATTAACTATATACTTGTTTGATAATTAGAAATTTACAAAATATTAAAAAAATATTTTATTATTATTAATTAAGAGTAAAGCATGTGATATCATCAGATCAAAAAATTTTTTCTCGGAATCGAATCAAAATTGCTTAATTTTTGCTGGAAAAATAATTTAATTGATTAATTTTTTGATCTGATAATGTTACATACTTTATTTTTAAATAGTATATAAAGTACAAATTACTTAATTATTATAATTACTATATCACTGACCAAATTTTCAGTTATATATTAATATTAATTAAATATTAATAATTACTAATTTTTATTAAAGCTCAAAAGAGAGAAAAAACATTCTGATATATAATTAATAATTTTTTGTATTTTAATATTTTTATAATATTATATTATTATAAGTATTATTATTAAAGTATTTAAATTTAGTGCTTTATGCTAGTTAATATATTCTCAAAAATTCCAAACTATATATAAACTTATAAAATTCTTAATTTTTAAGAGCTATTAAGTCAATAATCAAATTTTTCAAGTTAAAACAATATATAAAATTATAAAGTAATTAATTATAAAAGAGATTTTAATTAAGTAATCTTTATTATAATTTTTTAATTTATAAATTTTAATATTGAAAAATTTTTAATTTTATTAATAAATATTAATTATTTTATATTAAATAAAAATTATAATATTTTAGACAAAAATTTTAATTTTTTATTATATTTATATATATAATTCTATAATTTTGTTAATTATTATAAAATAAATATTTTATATAAAAATATATAAAATTATTATATATAATGACAATATAATAACATTAAAATTTATTTAATAAAAGTTTTTAATTTTACTAATAATATTTTTTATTTTTATATTTAAATAAAAATAATATCACATATATTTAATTTAATCAAATTATTTTAATTATATATAAAATTAATTATTTTTTATAATTAAAATAATTAATATTATATATAATTAAAAATAGTTTTATTAAATTAAATCTAAAAAAATATGACAAAATATATAATATTATATTTTAATATAAAAATAAAAAATATTTATTAGTAAAATTGTAAATTATTGCAGATTAAATCTAAAAATAAAAAATATTTATTAGTAAAATTGAAAATTATTACAGATTAAATCTAAAATAATCTGAAAAAAATCTAATAAAATATGTAATATTATCTTTATTTTAATATAAAAATAAAAAATATTTATTAGTAAAATACTTTTATATAAAAAAATTTATATTTAATTAATAAATTTTAATATTATTATATTATTTTTGATTACTATTATATTATATTTTATAATTTCTAATAAAAATAATAATAAATATATTTTTTATTTATTTTTAATGAAAATTTTTCAAAAATTATGAAAATTTATAAATATATTTTTTAAGATATTATCACTATTTGATATTTTGAATCATATATAAAATATCATTTAATATAATTTTAATAATTATTTATATTTTTTTATATTTTATATTTTTTAATTATTTAATTATTTAATTTATCTAATTTACATATAATTTATTAAAATACCAATTAATTCTTTTTAATATTGTTGTGATATGAATTTTGACATATTACATGACTTTTTATAGTTTATTTTAATTGGATAATTGATTTATAAATCATATTCATATTTATTTTATATTATTCATATTTATCTCATACTATTTTTATAATATTTCATTCTATTTTATTTTATTTTTATATTATCTTATTCTATATTATTTATAATTTATACTAATCACATTTAATTTATATTATTATTATTATATAAAAACACATGTTAATTGATCTATATAACCAAATTTGATTAATATTAATAGTGAAATTTATATAATATTAGAGTGAGTAATATATAATCATCAAGTGAGTGAGCGATGTGCAACCATCAAGTAAGCACTTTTTGTAATCTTAATATCAATCAAAAATAACTTTAATATTTAAAAGTTGAGTAACAATAATTTGTATAAATATAACATGTATCTTAGCTTAGAAAAATAATCTTCTTACACTTTCATATACTTTTGAATCTTTTTAGATTTAATCTTTTTATCTTTTTATTTTCTTTGACAAAATCTTCTTAGAAGTGAGTCATATTATAAGTCTTGAGTTGGAGATTTTTAGTCAAGCATTAATTATCCTTTTTTTTTTTATTTTATTTATCTATTTATTTATTTATTTTTAATTATCTTTTATTTATATCTAGTAATATTATAAATTACTAATCATTTTATTTATTTATTATGTAATTTTTATTAATTATTAATTATTATATTTTATTAGTTCTTAATTTTTAATTATTAATCTATTTAATTTTGATTAGTAATTCATCTAATTTATTTAATATAATGCTAATATTTTACTAATTTTATTTGTAATACTTAAATTAATTTATATTATTTCTTAAATCATCAATTTAAGCGTACAAATTTGTACACTTAAATCAATAAGAGAAAAGTAATAATAAAAAAAATTTTTTTTATACAAATTTCACTTAAATTAACTAAAATAATTTTCAAAGGCTTGTATCACATAGCATATTCCAAAAAAAGTAGTGTAGTACATAACATGTGATGCAGATCAGGAATATTATTTGTATAATACAAAGAATTTCATGCTCTAACTCCTGTTATTCCAGTTCTTTTAACAGTATTTATATAGCAGAAGGTCTTTAACGGGTCTCTTCTTACAGTTATAAGAGGA